ATATATATATATATAGTTTAAAGGTTACTAAGATGTATAAGAAGTGAAATCAACCCCAAGCATATCATATATGAATTTCTCCTATACTCATTTGCTTGTTTGTGACCAACACACCTAGCAACAGAGGTGTCGGGGTGTCCGACACTCCTCCGTCACTGTCACACCATGGACATGTGTTAAACACAATTTTGCACTGTCTTTTTTTTTTTTCGACTTCTACACAGCTAGAACACACCTTTAAATGGCTAGACACAGTTATAGATTGGGTTACCTTTTTCTTTTACCAATCTTTATAAAATTAGAAATAGAATCGTAATAAATAAATTTACTATTTTCCTTTTAAAAGTATTTTTTTGGAACTCTTTATTATAGATCTCAGCAGTTATTAGTTAATATTTTTATGTAAAACTACAAAGTTTTAGTATTGTAGATTTTTTTATCAATGACAAATATGCCTCTTAATTACCAAATGTTAATAAAATTAGTAATTTTTAATGATATATATGTTGTGTCCCCATGTCTTACGTTTTAGAGTTTAATCGTGTCAAAATGTCTATGTCAGTGTCAGTGTCTCATAATTTGTTACTTATCCTAAGTTTTATAAATTTTAACTATTAGTTTAATGAATCCAACAATGAACTTTTGTAAATATATTGTATAATTAATTTTTTTTCTTTTCTAATTGAAAATCAATTAATCGACCTAATACTTGATGACTTTAATTATTACTATTACAAGTTGACTATATTACGCTTGTCACGAGATCTAACAAGTTGCAATTGGTTTATATCATTTTTTATTACTTTGAGTGCCCCGGGTTCTTATTATAGGGTATTTGTGCTTAATCTTCTTTAATCAATAATTGCATTGGTATGAATTCCCCACTTAAGAGTTTTCATGGTTTATATTTGTGAAAATCTATTTGAAATTTCACTATATCTTTTTATAATGACTGATTTGGGCAAGTAATCTCCAAGTACAAAAATACTCTTAATTATGAGTCTTTTTATCTATGATTAATAAATAGCAGGTAGGATACATTAATGTTTTGGACTCTGAGAGTCTAACTTTGCCTTATATGGAATTTTTTTTCAAAATCTTACATTGTCCCTTCACATTCATAGTCATGGCCAATAAAAATCGAGACAATAAATATATTAATGATGAGAAAGATTAAAAGAATTAAATATTTAAAAAAAAAAGAATAAGAATGTGTCATTAATATTGAGGGTAATTTTGTAAAGAAAATGTAAATTTGTGACAAAATTAATGTTATTAATTAAATTGACAAATGTATGTAATCAGTGTTTTGCAAAAACGATTGGTTGATAGAAAATGTAGTTGAACCGGAAAAATGTAAATCAACAACTTTTTACGAGGGAGGAGTTGAACTCCGTTCCTCCACTTTTAGATAGTAAACCCCTACCATTAAACTATACAACTATAACACATTTTAATATACAGAAGTATTATACATATGCAATTGTGTTACAAATAATAAAAAATTTAAAACAACCATTTTGTTACTAGGGGAGATTCGAACCAAATCCCTCCTGCCTAAAATAAAGCCCAATTACCACTAAGATAAAGACTTCTTATATGTTATGTGTTACAAATATATAATATATTATACATAGACAATTTTATTTCTATTGTTTTATCTTAAATTATGTTAATTATATTATTTTTTAATTTTTTAATATAAACCAGTTTTACCGGTTTAATAAGTAATCCTTCAATTTGACTATTAAATCATCAAATCAATTACTTAAACCATTTTGATGATCGGTTCAGTTTTTATAACATTGGGTGTAACTGAATACTCAGCTGAAAAATCGATTTATAATGATTATAGGGGAATGTAATCGATTGCTCCAAACAGCTGCATTTTTTAAAACCTGCGAGAGGTAATTGATTACCCATCAAAGTAATCAATTACTCTATCACAAAGGCCCATTTCAAAAAAAAAAAAAAGGAGGCACTGTTGAATCCTAATATTTGGAGGCTAACTTGGGATTTGAGTAGGATTTCATGAAACCTCCAGTAGCTGAACAAGCAATTGTGACTGAGAAAACTAATGACAGTAAGTGTCAGTATTAAAGTGAAACAGGTCGCTTTAATCCTAAAACTCTAGTTCACTAATTCTATTAATTACATGAGACTAGAAAAAACTAATGACAGTTAGTACAGCATTAGAGTGAGTAATTGTGATGGCAGAAAGAAAGAAAAAAAAAAAAAGAGTAAATAATGACAATGCAGTAATGATTATCTTCAACATTTATGAGGATCTACATAGGATATGGAAATACCCTACTAGCAACATATGACATAATAATAAAATCAATCACAAGGTAGAAAAGTTTATCATAACTTACAATATCCGGCTTAGAGCACTTAAAACCATGTGCAAGAGCAGATATGTATAATGCTGCACCGCATAATCCACTAGGTTTCCTCCCTGTCTGTTTTCTAACATTAGCAAAGCAATATTTCGTAATAAAAAGAGTTCAAACTACACATCCCAAATTAATACTTTCTTTTGTCAGAACTGAAAAAATAACAGACCAATGCCAGAATAACATTTTAGATACCTGCATCCAGTCACGTTTCATGCTTGCAACAATGGTCAACGCAGTATCAGAGACAGCCTTACTCCCATGCTTCAACAAATCTACATGACATGACATCAATCTAATTATTTCTCTTTGCTCAAAGAAAAACCGTGGGATAGAAATTTTAAATAAAAAAATTTCTTAAACCAAACCAGGTTTGAAATTCACGAGCAAAAAACAGATGAATATCTTTTCATGCTAAATACATACAAGTTACATTCATCTTAATTATTTATTCTTTTATTAAAAAAAACATATAAAATAGGAGGGAGGAGGGAAATTCTCTCAACTCAAATTCCAATAATTTAGATTCATTTTCAAATAAACATAAATCTCTTTACAATTCCCTTCTATATTCTCAATTTATTCATTGAAGTATCAAAGGTCCAGGGGAAATCTTTGAAGGTTACGACATTGGAAAGGAACTAGAAGAAAGACTTGCAAGTGAAACTCTAGAAGAATATGAGCGGGAGTGTTTATTTTGATAACAAGCTTAAAGCTTAATAAGCTTTAGCCGGAGGGAAAGCATTAAACTGTGTGTGGGCTGTGGGGTTCATGTACCATATGCTAAAATGCATTTAAACTTGATGGCTATTTATTTATGTCTAAAAAGTTGCATCACTTGTTATAATCATAGGGAATATCTCCACTAAGTCTACTAACAGTCTATATAATCCATGATATGCAAAACCTATGTACTACATTCTACATGAAAAAAAAAAAGTTTTCGTTGTCTAAATTCTCTCAAATGATTTGTCTTAGAACATGGATTTTAACCAAACTCAATCTTACTAAATCAACAAGTAAGATGAAATTTGTCCCTCACTTGTATATTTTATATCGGTCATATCACTTGATTTATTAGATGATGTAGGATCTCCAACAGATACTCCTCACTTTGAGAATTGAACATCTCGAATATGAAGTTTACAAGACTAGACATCTAAGGATGGTCTAATAATAGTCCATAGGTGGCCTAAAAAGCCCAACAACACTTGATAGAATAGGTTTCAACTAGTATGATAGAAAAATTTAAGATTGAACATATTGAAAAGAATTTAGGCATGAGCCTCTGAATATTATCGAGTAATTCTGCTGATCAATACAACTAGAGAAACACAATGAAGTATTTGAGAGACCTCTCAGAGTCTCATCTCCTAACAAATTATGAATAACTTCCTAACCACCAACTCCTTCCCCTTCCCTATTTAAAGACTATTCAGTTACAATTCTATTTCCCCCTTACATACACTGTCTTAGTCATTGATCTCCTATTTTTCTAATACCATCTTAAGAAAGTGAGTTTGAACTTAACTCAATCTTACAAAACTTTCTTATAAGGTAAAAATTGTCTTCTACATATATACTTTGTATTAGTCATATCACTAATCATTGTGAGATCTCTAACAATTTGTTCTCTCTCCCTCCCTCTCTAAATTTACCACAAAAAAAGTCTATAAAATAGGGATAAGAGATTAAAAGGCAATAAAAGTCCCTTTCTTTTGATAATTCATGAAACACTAACAAGTTCCAAGAAATTTAATATATTCTCCCTTTTTCCCCTTTAGTTTGCACATTAGGAGTGAACGATCCTTGACAGTGAGTTCTAAATCATGGGGTGCGCACAACACAACATCTGTGGCTTTAATATAATATAATATAAAAATGGCTATATTATTTTTTAAGAGTAAAAAATTCATACGAGTCTACAGCAAATAATCTATACATATCCTGCAATACAATGAGATTATCCTATACACCAATCATTTTAGTTATCTGCTTACACAAACTGAGATGAAAAACAGACACTCACTCATGGTATATCTATGAATAAAAAGACTAGGATCAACAGGCTTTTGAACAATTGGGTGCTCTCCAAGCCTTAACACTTGACAAAGCTGCAAGAAAACTGCTCCTAGCACATAACTGCACAAAAATTCATGAACAGGAACATAGCACCATTCAGAAACACAATAAAACAGGGATACATTGAAATAAAATTAACAACACTATGGGGGAAATATAACCAGTGTCAGACTCTAGTATCAAAAGAAAAGCATACTCACACATCTGTCCTTAAATAATTTGAAAAATCAATAAGAAGGTATGGCTTATTGTTGTGCCTGCAAGAAAAAATATAATTTCAGAATAAAAAATAAAATACTGCAAAGAATATAAATAAATATGACCAGTTGACCAGACTCATAATGATAAATCAAAGGTGGAAATGCACATTATATTGAACTCATTGCTCTTCCCACAGTCATACTCAGCATTATTCACTGTCAACTACTACTCATAAACCTATTTCTATTTACTAACAAACATCCTTAACACATGGTTACTCACGGGAACAATAAAATGATAATTGTATGAAGAATCATGCAAAACCCATGCCAAAGAGAACTCATACCGGAATGCAATATAGAGACAAGCAGCCTGTACTTGCTCTGATTTTCGTCCACGGGTGAAATTTCGCTCAAGTGCTATCTTCAATAGTCAAATTCAAGAACTAGTTAAGTTCAAAGAAAATAATTTTGAACAAAGGTATAAATAAAAACGAGGAGAAAACTATTTACTCCAAGAATAAGTCTTGGTAGACTTATTTCACTTAATAATTCATATTCTAGATCAAATTTCAACGATTCAACCATTAAATTAAAAGTTCTCGATGAATAGATCAAGTCTAAAAAATTTTAAAAAATTAAAAACTATTTAATACTTCTTTCATTAATTCCAATTGACGGATAATAATAATATTGTATACATTGATTTGAATTTATATAACGGAGTATCATATAATTTTTAATTTTTTTAAAAATTTGTAAACTTGATCTATATATTAAGAACTTTTAATTCAACGGTTGGATTGTTGAAATTTGATGTAAAACATGAGTTATTAAGTGAAATAAGTTTACCAAAACGTCCTTTTGGGGTAAGTAAATCCCTCATCCATAAATACAAAGCAAGTTTAAAATGAGTTAAGTTCAAAATCATGACGTACTTTATAAAAGGTCAAAGCTTGGTCAGTCATACTTTCATCATTCACTCCAAGGCCATAACTTAAATATTTTATTTCATCATATGCTGTGAATTCAAAGAAAATTGGCACGAGAATATAAATAAATACATGTATGAAATTATTTACTGTAATCAAACTAATCATTGTATTGAAAACAACCCAGATTTCTCTTCTAAACATTCCTTCCTCGTAAAGGTAGGGTCAGCCTCCTCCTGCGCACTATCAATTGATTGCATTGGCTGTTGTAAGCATCATTAACAATACTACATTTTCCCTATCTTAGGATAAATATTTAAAAACCAATAATTGTTAGCACTTGTGTTCTCTTAATCAAGTACTAGGGTTTGACCACCATCTTAAACATAGAGTCGCAACAAGAGATATCACATTTTTTCTAAAATGGACCGACCCGGACAAGGATTTATACATCTTAGCTATACAAAAAAATATATGATAAATATTTAAACATTAAAATTTATTATTGAACCACAACTTTGTAATGAATGACAAATGACCAAAAGAAAATAGCACAATGATAGGACCCCATATGTGAAGTGGGGTCCAAATGGACTGTTATTACAGCAGCTAACCAAGCCCAGTGTGTATCAGGTTTATTCTAGAAGGAATAGGAAAGGGCGAAGTGGGAATGTCCATGTGGCAGGGACTATGAAAGATGAGGATAAACCATGTAGGGGAATTCTGTTATATAGGTGCTGAGTAGAGAAAGGTATATCGGAGAATCATTGAATTAGTTATGGGTAGAGAGTATTTGTTCTCTGAAGGAGCTTAGCTCTGGGCAGTAGGAATATTTTTTTCCTCTGTAATCATTCCATTTCAGAAATAATACACCTTATTTCCATTACTAATACTGAGCTGTGTTTTCCCTTTTAATTGTATAGTTATCTCTGGTCTCCATCACAGAACTTGACAGATTTATGACTAACACAGTAACAAGTTCAATAATTCTCAAATATGAGATGAGATATTCTATGCCAAATGAGAAAATCAATTAATATTAAACAAAAAAAATTTTTGGAAACCAGCATTTCAATTACATCCCGAGTGTGAATTCAGTCAAGAGACTAAGAAAGACATACCTCTATCTAAAGTCCTTTGACGTGAATCAGAGAACTCACTTTGAACTGTTCGTACATAATTTCCAGATAATTTACTCTATAAGACACAAAGAAACCATATGAGATACAAAATATGTAAAAACAAAAGTGTAGAATGAAAAGCAAAACAAATGCCCATGGGGAAAACAATTAAACTTGTCTTCTTCATAAGTCACCAATATCCAAGAAACTTCAGTTCAAACACCAGACCTATTAATGTCTTTTATAATGTTATCCATTGATAGAAGAAGCAAATGATGTGCCTCAACAATATATTTTGCATGTTTTAGAAAAGTATATATGACCTTAGGAGGATTTGGACACTCTACTTTTCCTTAAGAGACAAGTGTCATATTGATATTATGAAGAGAAAAGAAGATAACATGCGGGTCTCAAATATGGGACCCCATGGCAGGATCCACTTATTATTCCTTTCTTTCAAACCATACCCACAATCAAACTTAAACCTGAAGTAATCCAAATCCTCGTCTGTCCTTAATAAAAGTAGCTCAAGCCTCATTCTCCCCATAACATGACGTTAATTAAAAAATCCAATAGGTTTCAATCTTAAAGTCCTATGACCAAAACACCACCTGAGCCTGTCAAGCTTTCATTACCTGCCCTGCTGCATTCTTAACAAATGTAGGCTCCTCAGCAAAAAAGTAATCTTCCAACACCCTCCCACAGCTTCCACAACATCTGAAAATCAAAATAAAATAAACATCAAATAACATCATAGGTTTCCTCAACACATTCCTAGAACCATAATTTAAATATAATAAACAGTTCCATATTCAATTGCATAAATAATGCAAAAGAAATTAAAATAAAACAACAAAAGAAAAAGTGTCATTCCACGAAATACTGTGGAAGCACTAAAGATACTCACAAGTAACCGTCATCTAGTCGCTCACCGACAACAATTTTAGCACAGTGATTGCAGTATACCATTGTGGTTGACACAAATCTGCAGAGTCAGTGAGACGGAGGCACTGTAAACGATTACAAAACTCAAGTGAAATAAGAGGTAGTTGAAATATTCTAGCGAATTGGGAAAAAAGTTCAATTCAGTTGGGGTTTATCGTTTAGGGGGGGAGAGGTATTTAAATTTTCCAAATACATAAATTAGTAATTAAAATTTAAATAATTAAAATAATGAAATTATTTTACCGCACCCGTGATTCAGTTGGCAGAAGCTATTCTATCTTAATCAGATATTTTGTTAAACTAATGGAAACTATTTTACTTATATCAAAAACATTTGAGTTCCAACACTGCAGAGCATTGCATACAGCATGATCACTTCATTAATACAACTAAAGGAAGAAGGAAGGTGCCATATGCTTTCTTATGCCTTAATAGACAATCATTTTTCACCAGCCCAATTTAGTTCCAACCAAGCATAGCCCAAGCATACAATGATTCAAACCCAAACTTTATTAATGACAAATTGAAAATGCTATGGTAACTGGTGCATCAATCCAGAAACCACGGGTCACTCTTCATGAGACATGTTGTAAACAAAAGCTACCTTGAATAACAGAATTGTAACAACAGTTATCACCTTTATCTTAGTTGACCACAACACGAGCCAACCCAGGTTAGTCTTGAGACTTTACATCAGAAACATTCACAATGGCACAAGTGCCAAATACATGATATCCAACAGTAATAGATTAGACCATCAGAAGAAAAGTAACACTTGACATTCATCGGACCCAGTTTTCATCTTCAATTTTTTCCTATTCTTTTAGGCAAACAAACTATTTCATAGATTCACTAGCCCTAACATATACAAGAGCTGTTTCCTAGCATTTATACATCACAGTAATAGGACTAATTCAACGAAAAGGCACTAGAATTGAATGATTTAAACAAATCAAAGGCTAGCTTTAACAATTTTCTAACTCCCAATAACCCTATTTAGGTTCTGTCTACAATTCCTAATAACCAAAATGCCAATTTTGAATTTTAAATCAATGCCTTAGAATTCGAAAATCTCTCTTCTCATTTGTGTTATTTCTTTTCAATGGTGTTTTGCTTATTTATAACTAAAGTATTCCTCTTTGAGCTTAAAAAGTATGGTTTCAGTTTCAGCTACTAAAGTCCATGATGTTGTTATTTTTTTGAGAGTCTTATAAAATTTGCAATTGTTATGTAACTTTGTAGGTGTCTGAATTCTTGTTCCCAGTTTGCTACGGTTCACTGATATTTCTTTCTTGGCTATGGTTGGCTCCAGCAGGCAAACCAAAAAGTTGAGAGAAGCACATATTCAAGAATGGGAAGTGTACATTTATTTGACTAAGACCAGCTACTATCAAATTCTTGAAGGATTTTTATTTATTTATTTAACTGACACCAGAATCAATCTAAGATAAAACAATTAGAATATAATAACTAATTAACTAGTTTTGATCAGTATACAACAAACAACTTCACTTTCCCTCACACGCTAATCGGAATCCTTCAAAGTTTAACCTCATAATAAATTCATAATAATCCCCGTGCCTATACCGAAAAACCCAAGCACAAAAACAGCACTATGCTCAATCACTATGATTCTCAAATCTCAAAATGTGAATACTAAACCAACGGTTACTCAAACATTCTCTGTTCCAACATCATATCAATAAAGGCCAACTCGAACAGTTCCATTCCATCCCTGTCGCGCAAATTGCATCATTATTAGGTAGTGTTTTATTTCTGGAAGAAGCCTTACACAGAGCACATAAATCGAAATCCAAGCAAAGCAAAAGTACTTCCAACCAAACTGAACTTCCTACACGTGAAATATTAGCAGTTCAAAAATTGGGGGAAAAACTCGAGCAAGTGAGTGAGTGAGAGTTATCACACTAACAACACGGCGATAGCGAGTAGCGAGGTTTTAAATTACGGTTACGGTTTCATCACACGCCTTAAAATTGCGGAAGATTATTCACAAATGAAACTGATGCGACCAAATTTGCGGTCGAAGCTACAAAAATTTGAAGTTGCGACCGAAATCGCGGTAGCGGACATTTGTAGCAAGTAAGCACTTGAGGAATTTCATTTCCAACGAGGAATTTCGTTCGTCCAGTAAATTATGATACAAAGACGAGGGAGAGAGAGGGAAAACGGACCTGGCGGTGGCAGACGGTGGCGGGGACTATTCCGGTGGTGGTTTCCGGTTGCGCGGATCTCTGCAATTCCAACGCAACCGAAACGAAATTCGTGAAAGGCAACACCGAGAGAAGAGTGAACTCAAGAAAGACGGAGAGAGGATTGTGAAGAGAGTGAAAAGCTCTAAGAGATAGACATGATCGAAAGAAGGAAGCAGGGAAGAGCGCGCACCGGTTTTATAAAGGTTAAAAGTAAGTTTCTCTAACTAATTTCTGAGTTATGAAAACTAACCACTTGGAAAAATGGATTTCATTTCTCCGTAAAAAAGAATAATAATAAATTAGTATTTTTTAAAAATATATAATATTTTAAAACAAATATTTATATAAATTAATGAGAAAAAATAAAATAAAATAAAATAAGGGTATAATTATTTTTGAAAAATAAATACTAAAACGGAGTTATAGATATTACTTTTAGTTACATTATCTAAAAAGGAAAGTATAAAAAAAAGTCAAATACATTATTTGCACTGAATTTGAATACAAAAATATGTGATCGGATTAAATATCTAGTTCAATTATTTTTTTTTATTCTTTAATAATATTAAATTTATATTTTTGTCTATTTATTTTAATTTTATAATTTTAATTCTCTATTTTTATAAAATTTATTATTTTGATTTCTTTATCAAATTTTATTCATTAATCATTAAAATTATAATATTGATCATGATATGATAATAAGTAAATGACTTGACACTCAAAGTTTAATAATATTTAGTTAAATATAACTTATAATTCTCATTTTTATCTCATAAAAATAATAAAATGAGATAAAAATGAGAACTAAAGAAATAATTTAGTTTAAATATTATTAAATATTAATAATTGTATCATTTACTTAATGTTTGATCATGACTAGTGTTATAATTTTAATGATGGATGAATATTTGATAAGATGACCAAATTATAAATTTTATAAAATTAAGAGATTAAAATTATGAAATTAAAAATAGAATAATAAAATTATGAATTTAATATTATATAGGACCAAAAGTACAATTTATTCTAAATATTTAATTAAAAAACTTATGTGATGTAATGATCTTATTGTTTATTGTAGATGATACATTTTATAATAAAAAAAATCAATAATTCAATTCTTAAAATCTTTATATTTATAATAATAAAAGGTGAATGTAAGAAATTCCCTCATATTTTATTAAAAATTTCCTCTTAAATGTAAACTTTTTTTATAATTTATTTTTTCTATAATTAATCCTAATAAGTAATATTAAACAAATTTATAATAAATATTAAACAACTTTCTTTTTTCAAACATTCATAATGTTAAATGTTAAGAAAAAATGGTAAACTCTCATTTTGATTTATAGAAATATGATAAACTATTGTAGTAATCCTTGAAAGGTGAGGAGAATTATGATAGTAGTACAAAATTATGATAAACCTTCATTTTTATAATTATTCTTAATAAGTAATATAAAATTTTATGAGTTTTCAATATGGAATTGGGAGAAATGTCAAGTAGAAGTCTCAAAATAAAGAGTTGTTTGAAGAATACAATTTGCAAGAGTAGAACTCTAAAGATGATGAAAAGAATTATGATGACACTGAATTTCCAATAAGGCACTAGAACCTTGGAAGATATTTGTGCAAGATGTAATGTTGTTGCATTGGGCTTACAAGGTATGATGAAGTGGTTGAATTTGAAAGTTGGAGATTTGTCATAAAAGAGGACGTGAAGATGATAGACAAAAATAAAAAATTTGAAAAATTGTTGACAAACCAAGTAATAAAAAGGTGATTGGTGATAAATGAATTTATAGGACTAAACTCAATCATGATGGTTATGTGAACAAACTTAAGTTCAGATTGGTGTTAAAAGGGTTATTCTTAACAACATGATGTTGATTTTTCATATACTTTTACACTTGTTGCAAAGCATGAAACAATTAGATTATTGATTTTTTGAACATGAAATTTTTATCATTTTGATGTAAAATCAACTTTTCTAAATGAATTTTTTGATGTTGACATATATGTTGATTAACATGAAGGTTTTTAGGTTCCAAGAAATGTAGATAAAGTCTTCAAGTTTTATGAAGCTCTAAGCCGTATACAACATAATCAATAGTTATATTCTGAAAAAAAGTTTTGAAAGAAATGAAAATGAAACCACCTTATATGTGAAGAAGTCAAACAATAAAATGCAACTCGTGGTGTCTTTGCATATTGATGATTTATTAGTTATACAAAATTAATCAAATTTCTAAAACCAATTTAAGAATGACCAGAAGAAATAATTCGAAATGACTAATGTGGGGTGAAATGTAATACTTTATTGGAATAGAGATCTTTTAGCAAAATGAGAGAATAATATTTATTTCACAAAGAAAACATGATTTTAAAGAAGTTTCTCATGGAGAAATGCAAGCTTGTTGCTACTCCACTGTAAGTGAAAAATTATCAAAGAATGATGGTGATAAGAAAGCATATGTTTTTCTTTATAAAAGTATAATTGAAAGTTTCTTGTATCTTTTATCAACCAAACCAGGCATAATGTTTGCTACAAGTTTGCTTTCCATATTTATGCAGTATCCTAGTGAAGTTCACTTTAGTGTAGCAAAAAGGGTTTTGAGGTATATAAGGAGTACAATTCATTTGGTTGTATTTCTTAAAAAATGAAAGTGGAGAGTTTCAAAGATATGCAAATAGTGATTGGGCAAGAAGTGTAGATGAATCTAAGAGCACCTCCAACTATGCTTTCCCATTTGGTAGTGTTGTTTTCTCATGGAATATATATATATATATATATATA